ACACACACACACACACACACACACACACACACACACACACACACACACACACAAAATCAAATGCACCTTTTTTAAAACTTGGCAACTGCAGCGTTCTTTTTTGTTAGTTACTTTTCAAATATTTGTATACTTCATTAAAAGTTCAACACATTGGTATTATGAGGAGGTGCAGACGTCTCCTTGCTTTTTGGCTGACGACAGAATTAAATGGGGATATTAGGTATTTTTCCAGGTGCATGGTTCAATTCTGTACCACAATCAAGTAACTATGTTACCTTCAGTTGTTATGAAAAAGCTGTATATATATATAGATATAAATAAATTTATCTAAATGCTTGTCTCTTTAAAAACCTCCTGCCATTTCCAACAGTCCCACTTCAGCATGTCCTTACTATTCATGGGAGGGGTGCCCCCTAATACAGAGCTAAAATCAAAAAGACTCCATGTATAAACATCAACCGGTAGAGAATAGCGAGTGTTTTGTGACTTTAGTTCTCTTTTTATTTACTCGTTGGTGGTAAGTTCTGGGTGGCCAAGCTATGACGACTCTCCTACATCGTGGCAGCACTTGGTGTAAAACAACTGACAGTATGGCTGGGTTTGATCGCATGAGGACAACGTAAAAAACGTCTAGCAGAGTTGCCAGGGCTTCCTCCCTTCTTGGTGCCAGGGCTGGGGAAGAAAACTGCAGAGGGGTGACCTGTGGGGAAAGTAGCCAAGGTCAGGTGCTGTGTAAGCCACGTGGCATGCTGATTACTGGCTTTCAAACAACAGAGGGGTATTTACACAAATAAAATCCAATCATTTGAGCCAGATTAGAACTCCTTAACCTCTTTCTTTTTATGCAACACTGAACATAAATGTGCGCCAAATAAAAGGATAAACACTGTTTACACTGTATGCAGTTATAATATATACAGTATCATCAGTTTTCAATGTATTTATTTCGTCTGTTACATTTAGTTTTTAGCTATTGTACCTTTTTTCAGCTTGTTTTGCAGATTTCAGCGCTCGCTGCGTGTTATAGCAACAACGTGCTTGTCGCCCTTCTCTGATGAGAAAACATTCATGTCAGGTCGTAAATGTCAGTGGCTTTCTGTTTCTTTTTACTCCTCCGGTGTTATGAGCTCCTAGTGTGCACAGCCAGTGGAATTATCCTCTTCCTCCTCCTCTTTAGGTGAGCTTCACCAGAGGAGATGAATAATGTAAAGCTGTGTTGTCAAATATCAGCTGATGTGAACGTTTTAGTAGAGCTGAATCTCCCAGTGTGCACTCACTTTATGTTAATACATCCATGGTTATAGCTCGGTCAGTTTTATCTGATGTGGTAGTAGCTGAGAGTCATCCCCAGCACCAACAGATTTCTAGTTTGAATGTTTATTTCTAAAGTCTTGTGTTTGTTGGCCACATCCTCTGATCCRGAGCCGGCTCTTGGCATAGGCGAACTAGGCGGTCGCCTAGAGCGCCATCTGCTGGAGGAGGCGCCGAACTGCAAAACAAAAAAAGTAATTATTTGTAATCCCTGGTTGTAACTCTGCTCAGCGCCCATTTCAATTAGCTTTGTCTTAAAAAACTATAATGAAGTATTACAGG